AGGTTGTAGTAAGGTGAGCAGGGAAGATAGTTCTTCAAGTTTACTCGTTGCTAATTTTCTCAACAATAATGTATTGTGTATGAGTGTTTGTGCCGCTGTCTCATGTGTCTATATGAACCAATAGTGTGTACATTTGCTGGAAAGAAGAAAGATCAAAAGCCACACATGCGGCTATTTGCCCCCAAAAAAGAAATTACCAGTAAAGCTTCCCAATTATGATGCAGAATGTGTAAGTTATAAGCTATGAAAACCCAACAGCGTGTATGTTGTGCTGGAAAGAAGAAAGATAAACATACAAAGACAAATGCCAACTATGAGTAGTTCTGCCGCAGATGTGCAAGCACAACAGCAAAGCAAATACCAAATATGGGCTGTCCTTCAACTTCAAGAATATTGTAGCACATATAAAAACAGAATCTGTCATTTTAAACAAAATCTGTCTGCAGTTGGATATTGCCCCAGTTTGTAAGAATGAGAAGAATGTTTGGTGTAGTTTTGGAAGTAAAATAAAATGACCAAATGATAAATCTCAGTCACTTCTAACTACATAAACCAAATGATATATCAACAAAACCAAATAAACTTTTTTTTTTTTTAAAGTACAAGCGATAGTCTAAACTATAAGAGAGGGAGATTTCTCTCACACACACACAACCAAGATGCCAAGATGCCAAGATGCCATGGAGTTTCGAACCTGAGACCTCTCGTCTACAAGTCAAGGCCCTTTTTCATTGGGCTAGACCCCGTTGGGAAAACCAAATACATTTAAATGGGAAAGAAGAATAGCTCTTCCTGCAATTAACATCTCTTGTGATAATAGATTATCAGGAGAAGTTAGGAAGCAGATTTACAAATTCTTTGGAGAAATGAGAACTGAATTTAATAGAGAAACTGAAGAACATGTCTCTTAGCCTTGCCTTTTGTCTTATTATTCATCTAGGTCAACACCAAGGATCAGATCTTAAAAAAAGTATCCCCACCAAGAGATTCTTGTGGTACTTTAGGATTTGGGAATATGGTTTGTTACAACTGAAGGCAACATGAATACAAGTTTTGACAGGAGGAATATAGTTCTTTAGCTTAGAGTCAACCAAAGTAGAGCATGGGTGGAAAAATGTTCAGGGTTGACAACCAATTTAGGCTTTCTGGGCCCTAATGCACAGCTGTGGTAGGTAGCTCACCATATTTGGTTCATTTAAAGTGAATTAGCACATGCCAGCCACATTATTCAGATCGTGAAACTCATTTACACCCAAAAAGCAAAGTAAAAAAAGCTGTCAACAACGGAAGGAAAAATTACAAAGAGGAAAAAAAACACCGGCAGAACATTGAGAAATATAAGAAAGTTTCTTCATTGATTTTCATCTTCCAACATTACAGAGTTTCAGAGTGCTACCCCACAGTCCTCCACAATGACTAGAATTATATCTTCCAAAAATGAAAAGGGGCTGTAGGGGGGGCAGATCTGCCAAAAGTACAAGCAAAACAAACCAAATCTAGTGCACACTCCCCGATTTAAAGAAAATTGATAAAAGAGTTGGCAGAAGCTCTGCCCAGCATAAAATCGTCAGCAGAAATTATTGGGATAAAGGAGAGTTCTGCTTAAGTAGAATGCCAAAGAAGATGGACTTAAATCTTTGACTGTTTGGCAATTTTGAACCATTCAGTATGGAAAGCACCTTCTACATCAGTTCTTTCATATGTATGAGCACCAAAGTAGTCTCGCTGAGCTTGGACCAAATTAGCCGGCAGTCTCTCCCTTCTGTAGCTGTCAAAATAAGCAAGACTAGCTGACATACCTGGGGTGCTGATGCCTGAGTTGATAGCAAGGCATACCACCCTTCTCCAGGCAGACTGCCTCTCAATGATCTCCTTCGAAAACTCTGGGTCCACAAGAAGATTTGCAAGATCAGCATTCCTATCATATGCCTGCTTAATTCTGTCCAGGAACACTGCTCGAATGATGCAGCCCCCCTTCCAAATCCTAGCCAACTCCCCCAACTTCAAGTCCCATCCCTGCTCAATACTCTTTGCACGGATAAGATTCATCCCTTGTGCATAACTGCATATCTTGGATGCATAAAGAGCTTGCCTCACATCATCGATCAACTTTGCCTTATCCACCTCTGGGGCAGTCAAGATATCACCAAAACCAGCTGATTTGAACACTTTAGCTGCTTTAACCCTCTCTTCCTTTAAACCACTGAGGAACCTTGCATCCAAAGAAGATTCAATTGTGGGAGCTGCAACTGATAGTTCAGCAGCTTGCTGAACGGTCCATTTACCAGTACCCTTCATGCCAGTCTTGTCCAAAACCTTGTCAACCAAATATCCATCTCCCTTATCATCCTTGATTCCAAATATATCTGCAGTGATTTCAATCAGGAAGCTCAGAAGCTCTCCCTTGTTCCACTCTGAGAAAACGCTTCGGAGTTCCTCATTTGACAGCTTTCCAACTGACTTCAGTACATCATAAGCCTCTGCTATCAGCTGCATATCACCATATTCAATCCCATTATGAATCATCTTAACAAAGTTACCAGACCCACCTTTGCCAATGTAAGTCACACAGGGGCCACTGTCTGGAACTTGAGCTGACACCTTAAGAAGAATGTCTTCAATGTACTTATAGGCCTCAAAGGATCCTCCAGGCATCATAGAGGGCCCATATCGAGCCCCCTCTTCACCACCTGAAACTCCCATTCCAAGGTAAAGAAGACCTAATTCAGCCATGGCTTTCGCCCTCCTCTCAGTATTCTCATACCACTCATTACCCCCATCAATAATGCTGTCACCCTTCTCCAGGTAGACGGAGAGGGTCTTTATGGTCTGGTCAACAGGTGCCCCAGCCTTGACAAGCATGATAATGACCCGAGGTTTCTGGATTGACTTAACAAAAGATTCAGGATCATGGAAGCCATAAAGGGGAAGATTTCCTTCATTTTTAGCTCGCTCAACAGTCTCATCAACTTTGGAGGTAGTTCTATTATACACTGAAATGGGGAAGCCTTTCTCTGCAATGTTGAGGGCCAAATTTTGGCCCATGACAGCCAAACCAGCAAGGCCTATTCTTGTAGGTTTCGGTGGTGCAGCCATGTTTTTCTCTGAATGACATTTGGAATTGTTACTTAGTGTCAGATGAGACAGAAAAATATGAAATACAGATCTAAGAAACCCTAGTCCGGAAAACAAAATGTCAGGATGATTTGATGAAATCCACAAACTGCGAATAGATCTTAAACATAATTTCACAGGGAATCAATATGTATCTGGAGTTCACTGATAAAGAGTAATCATGCATTCCTAGCATTATATATAAGATCAATGATATTAAACAACATATGAAGCTCAGATGGATTATACTAAAATAACAAATCTAAAGAACAAAGATGATACTCCAGTAACAATCCAGTAAACATTCAGTTATACAGTACAATTGTTACGATCGAGTCTACAGAAAAAAAAAACAAAAAACAAAAGGCCAAACTTTACACTAAAGTATATCCAGTAAAGCTAACCAAGTTAAACGAGACTAACTTATTCTTTCATTCTAGAACCCATCAACCAAGTAAAGACAAACACGCAAGTGAGAAGGGCAGAATCTTCAAATTCTAGAACCCATCAACCAAAATGAGTGGACGAACTAAAAAAGCTTGATCTAACAAATCTGAAAAGTCCCAAAAGCCACAGATCAATGCGAAATCATATTCAGAGTTAAGATTAATGAGCAAATCGACAACACAATAGTAAAACTAACATAGATCAACAATGGGAGCAATAAAAAACAAACGCTCTGCTTGATCAGAGAAAACCAATTGAAAATTTAGAAAAGCTAGAGTCTTTAACTGCTGTAATAGAATATAACGATTCAATTGCATTTAGAACGAGTTTTCAGCAACCAAGTAAGTATAGCAGAGTAAGCGACCATTTTGATCAAAACCCAGAAAGCAAAAGGATCCAAACCTGAAAGTTTTCTTCTCTGACGAAAGAACTGGATTGAAAATCTGAGCAAAACCAAGAAAGCGAAGATCTGGGTTAGGCAGACAACAATGATTAATAATTGTGGAAAAAAATATATAACGCAAGAAGGAAAGTATTCACCTTTTATTCCACAAAAGGTTTCGTCTTTGAGAGAGAGTCAAGATTGGCCACTGGTTGGGTAGGTGAGGTGAGGTGGACAAGCCGTCGTTGAAGATGCGTTAGGTGAAGAATTGAAAGTCCAATTACCAATATATCACAACCGTTGGTTTACTGGTGCAAGAGCAATTTCATTCTTACGTGTATTATTATAACTTCATTCAACATATGTCACCCATTACATCATTAACCATTGCTAACATATAACTCAAGAGTCTTGATTCAATTAAGATGGGAAATTCTTTTTGGGTGTAATGGTTGCACTACGAGTGTTATAATATTAGTGGATTGATAACATCACGTAATTGTGTGATCATATGAAAAAATTTCTCGAATTCAATACCCTCATTATGGTATGAACATACTTGAGAAAAAATATATTTCCATTTTTAACATAATTTTGGAATTATATAAGAAAATAAAATTATTTTATGAGATTTCTAAAATAAAGAATTTGAAATGGTTCTTGGAAAGCAAGTGCATCTAACCTGGGCATTGTTTGAGTCGATGCCTTTGCTAACTAATTAATAATCCGACTGTAAAGTATATGCATTAAGCATGCACATTTGTCATGTCAACAGGATGTCATTGTCACCAAAACTAATAATAAAGGACATAACATTCTAACTTTCTATTGCATTCTAAACTCTCAACATTGTAGCTTTTCATGGCTGATTATGTTGTTTTACATATTATTGATGGGAGTGTTTGGTTGGGTAGAGAGAAATTGAGATCTTCAACCAAATAAAACTTTACATGATCGATGAGAGTGTTTGGTTGGGTAGAGAGTGCTTGGTTGGTTATGACTTATGAACTTATGGCTAAAGTAATAAGCAGGTCTGAATCTGTCAAATTACATGTACTGCAAAGTGCCAAAGAATCATTGCTACGTATACATTCCCAATCTGGCTGTTTACAATCCATGGTCGACATGAATAACAGATACAACATTAACACGAGCATAACAGACAGCTTTTCCAAAAGAGAAAACAAAAGGACATGACTTCTCACTGAGCTTCGCTCTGAGGTTGCAACTAAAGAAGGAATTCATAACTTGTGAGAATTAGTAGATAGTGACAGACAGTAGCTGCAGCTGACCGACGAACGAACTTGGAGCAGTGACGATGGTTTGGTTATCTATAAGCCAAAATTGCACATCTGAACAAATTCCATATCGTTGTCCAGATAATACGTCCAGAGTTTCTTGTATTGGTTCATAGCAATGTCCAGCCAAGGTTTCATGTTTCCATTATAGTGAATGACTGCAGCATTTCTAATCTCATCCATGCTAATACTAGGATTGTACCCCAGCCCTAGGACATGCCAAGATTTGTCCAACGACTTTGTCGTTGAGTAGAACGTAATCAGCCCCGGTGGAAGAGTCCCTAACTTCCACAGAGTCCGGTCCTCATTCTGCAAAATTCATCGACAAGAAATATTCACTCATGTATGATGTATCCCACAGTCAAACTAGTAATAGCAAAATTGTACTTCAACTATATATATGGCGCCATTTGGGTAGCAATTTTGAAGCGAAAATCACATATTTTGATATTTAAAGAAAGATTATGTACTTTGAAATGCTAACCCAAATGGCACTTAATCTTTCGAAACACAAGGAATTTGTGCACAAGGAAAAAAAGCACTTACCAAGTTCTGCCAGTAATGGTACTGCTCTGTGCATTTCTCCTGCCTCCAAGCATCAAGATCAAAAATATTCATCCCATATGCCCAAGCACAAGCCCTGGGATTGAACCTCTCTCTAAGAAGAGGGTGTGAAAAATTCAAATATTGGGCGTATCGATGGAAGGACCCAAAGCAGGTCTCAACAGCTCCATTCACCTTCCCATCCAAATCAATCTTCCATAATCCTGTCAAGTCTTTTTGAACCACAACATCATCATCCAAAAAGAGAATTTTGTGCAGTTTTGGATACATCTCGGGCAAATAAAACCGAAGGTGATTCAACATTGACAAGTACTTGGGGTTCCTATATTTCATGTTATGTGTATCCGTGGTAGCATTCTCTGCCCGATTCTCAAAGTAGAACTTCTGCAACTTTGCTGACTCAAGTTGCCTCAATACTGGCACATACGAAGAATTCAAGAAAGTAAAATCTTCTACTGCATTCACCTCCACATATGCACCCCGTTCCACAGGCCTCATCTTAAACCAAACCTTCATCGGTGCAAGATTCATCCTATCTGTGACAACATGGAAAACATGTTTCCACGGTTCATCGGAATTATTCACCACAGATCGTATCACCACCGAGACAGCAATCACATTATCTGAAAAGATCGCATAATGGTACAAACTAGGGTCCTCAAATTCGGGGCTTGGTTCTTCTTCCTTGTACTTCTCTGGATGTGAAATTCTTTCCTCAACAAGCCTCATGGCCAAACAATGCAAGCTTTTCGGTATTGATTTTGCAGCAATCGAGCTTGCAAATGCCCCATTCTTCTTTGCTTTTATAAGTAACTCATTAACAGCAAAAATGGTATCCTTCAACTTCTGAATCTTGAGCTGATTATCATAATTCTCCTTTGACTCCGCAATCATTAACCGAGCAACTTTGACCTTATCCTTTATCTCCTTCTCAAAATGCCTCAAAACATCCTCATCCAAAGGACCGTCTGATTCAAACAACGCAGACCGGTAACTCGGTTTCATTTGAAGATTGGAGAAATTCGACGCCAAATCATCAAACATTCTCATTTGTCTAGATATCTCAAGCTTAAGCTTCCTGGCGTACGCAGCATAGGCATTCACCAGAGTAACATGATCATTCGCTTGCTTATATATCAAATCTAATCTTGTTTTCAGAGGGTCAGAATTTAAAGCTAAAAACGTCCTACGCATGTACGCGTTTCCAGTGGTTGGAAGCGCCTGCATTAATTAAACACCAAGATTAAAACTTGAATTATGTCTAACAATAACAGTAAAAATTGATATGCGGGTTTTGCTTTGTTCTAAAATTTCTAAATGGGAATTTCTTTTCAAACGCTAGAAAATAATGAAATTTGGGTATTGCTTCAATCTGAGATTTGTTCAAAGGTAAAATCAGAATTTGGGTTGTGCTTAATCGGTGAAATTGACATCTGGGTTTTGCTAAAGCTTTAGCATTTCAATCTGAATCTCGCTTAAGTACAAAAACAAAGAAGAGAAAATGGATAGGGAAGAGGACATACAGAGTCGTGATGTGGAGTTGAAGGGTTGGTGGTGAAGAGAACAGAGAGCGTGGCAATGAAGAGCAGAGAGAACATAGCCGACACAAAGATCCGATACGAGAAGAAGCTCCGGAGGCTGAACCCACCAAACCCTGACCCTCCTCCGCCTCGGCTACCTCGCACGGCCACCGCCATTGGAGCAAAGCCGTCGACGTATCCAAGGACCAAGCTTGGATCAGAACGCGCTTGACCTCAAAACTAGTAGCAGAGTTTCTGCTCTCAGCTGATTGGAAAGTGAGTGATGAGAAATCTGAAGCTGATCGGAAGTGTCTGACTGTGTGTTTGCGTGTGAGATCTCTAAGCTGGGTGTGATGTGACGACCATGTGAGAGTGGAAGAAATCAAACTTCCAAGTTCGAAGAGATCTATAATCCGTGTCGGTGTTTGTTAAATTTCTTTAATAAAAATATAATTGTAATAAGATGTTGGAGTGTGACTGTGTGTAGTTAGCGGAACTAGGAAGGAAGTGGGACCACGCCTCCTTCATGGTCCATAGAAGATGAGAGAGCTTCGTAGTTTCCTCCACCAAAAGTAATTTGTCCTCTTTTTTCTCTTACACAAAATAATTTAGACCCAATAATTCCATTTGTTCATGAACACAAAGTAACTTGTAGACAAAGTAATTTAATTTGTTCATGAGTTATAAAAAAAAAATGCATAGTGAAATAATGGAGTTGATAGTTGGGTTGGGCTAGTGGGTTGAGCTGAGCCCAATTGATCGAGTTAATCCAACCTCAATCCGTCGGGTTGAGCTTAGATACATATATTTTCAACTCGACAGTAATTGAAGTCTAGTTTAAGATTAAAAAAAAAATTCAATCAAAAGTTTAAGATCTAAATTGAGGGGAAACATATGTTTTGTGGAATTGTAGCTGCTCATAGGGGGGTCATCTTCGACATGCTTGTGTATTAAGTTATATATGGTCCTTAGGTAAGGTCTTATCTCTTAGTCGTTGGATCAAATTGATTAGTCGTTGGATCAAATTGGTTAGTTTGATTCAACGATTAAGAGATTAGACCTCACCTAAGGGCCTATATTAAGCCCTCACTATAGAATGACTCCACACAACCAATGATTCTGGAATGACCTTCGCTCAAGTTACCACCCTAATAAGAATAAGGTCCATAAGGCTGCTGAGACAAAGCCCATTATCTTTTTTGGTAACAATGTGCCAGGCCCATGCAAATAGGTATCAAGATCATTTTTACCAAAAACCCAATGAGCCGTTGAAGTTTGTAAGGGGCCTGATCCAATGGATCGTCAACCTCGCTACTAAATAATGGTTAATTTATTTTCTCCAATATTCACTGAAAATTAGAAGTATAAGTAACCGAAGTTTGAAATGGAAATCTGGCTAGCCGTTAAAGATAACATGCATTGCTCAAGCCTCTCTCTTCCCGCTCCCGCCAAACTCCCATTGCCACCTTCTCTCAGACCTCAGGAAAGCCCCAATTTTGATTCCCTCAATAACCGTCTGATCAGCCACATCAATGTGGGTCATCTCCGCAAAGCAATCACCACCCTAGATCTCATGGCCCAGCGCGGGACTCACCCAGATCTCCCCATCTACTCCCTCCTCCTCAAGTCCTGCATCAGGTCCCGGAATTTCGACCTGGGCAGACTCGTCCACGCCCGGCTGGTTCACTCACAGCTCGAACTCGACCCGGTCGTTCTGAACTCATTGATTAGCTTGTACTCAAAATCTAGGGACTGGAAAAAGGCAAATTCAATTTTCGAAAATATGGGAAATAAGAGAAATTTGGTTTCTTGGAGTGCCATGGTGTCTTGTTTTGCGAACAATGATATGGGATTGGAAGCTATTTTGACATTTCTTGATATGCTTGAAAACGGGTTTTACCCGAATGAGTATTGCTTTGCATCGGTGATTCGGGCATGTTCGAATGCCCAGAATATTCGGATTGGGAATATAATTTTTGGGTCAGTAATCAAAAGTGGGTATCTTGGGTCTGATGTGTGTGTTGGGTGCTCATTGATCGATATGTTTGCAAAGGGTAGTGGAGAGTTGGATGACGCATATAAGGTGTTTGAGACAATGCCTGAGACGGATGCTGTGACTTGGACTTTGATGATTACTAGGCTTACACAAATGAGTTGCCCAGGAAAGGCTATTGATTTGTATGTGGATATGTTATGGAGTGGGCTCATGCCTGACCAGTTTACACTAAGTGGCGTTATATCAGCTTGTACAAAGTTGGACTCATTGTCCTTAGGGCAGCAATTGCATTCATGGGTTATACGGTCTGGGTTGGCTTTGGGTCATTGTGTTGGGTGTTGTTTGGTGGACATGTATGCCAAGTGTGCGGCTGATGGATCGATGGATGATGCAAGGAAGGTATTTGATCGGATGCCAAACCATAATGTTAAGTCATGGACTTCAATCATCAATGGATATGTGCAGAGTGGAGAGGGTGATGAGGAGGCAATCCAACTCTTTGTTGGAATGATGACGGGTCATGTTCCACCAAACCATTTCACGTTTTCTAGCATTTTGAAGGCTTGTGCAAATCTTTCTGATCTGCGTAAGGGTGATCAGGTTCACTCCCTGGCAGTGAAACTAGGCCTTGCATCAGTTAATTGTGTGGGAAATTCACTTATTAGCATGTACTCAAGGTCTGGCCAGGTGGAAGATGCCCGGAAAGCTTTTGATATTTTGTATGAGAAAAATTTGATATCTTATAACACAATCGTTGATGCATATGCCAAGCATTCAGACACAGAAGAAGCCTTTGGACTTTTTCATGAAATTCAGGATACAGGATTTGGGGCTAGTGCTTTCACATTTTCTAGTCTCTTGAGTGGAGCTGCAAGCATTTGTGCAGTTGGTAAGGGTGAGCAAATCCATGCCCGGATTATAAAATCAGGATTTGAGTCAAACCAAGGCATTTGTAATGCTTTGGTTTCCATGTATTCCAGGTGTGGAAACATAGATGCTGCTTTTGCAGTGTTCAATGAGATGGAAGATTGGAATGTTATATCATGGACTTCAATGATCACAGGTTTTGCAAAACATGGATATGCGGCTGCAGCTGTGGAAATGTTCAACAAAATGCTTGAGGCTGGATTAAAACCGAACGAGATCACGTATATTGCTGTTTTGTCAGCTTGTAGCCATGCTGGTTTGGTTGCTGAGGGATGGAAACACTTCAATGCAATGCAGAAGAAACATGGTATCGTCCCAAGAATGGAACATTATGCATGCATGGTAGATTTATTAGGCCGCTCAGGATCCCTTGTAGAAGCCATTGAGTTTATTAACTCAATGCCTTTTACAGCTGATGAACTAATCTGGCGAACATTTCTTGGAGCCTGCCGAGTACATGGTCACATAGAGCTCGGGAAACATGCTGCAAAGATAATTATTGAGCAGAACCCACATGATTCGGCAGCATATAGTTTACTGTCAAATTTGTATGCTTCCAGTGGTCTTTGGGAAGAAGTAGCCAAAGTAAGAAAAGATATGAAAGAGAAGTTTTTGATAAAAGAAGCAGGTTCTAGCTGGATAGAGGTGAAAAATAAGATCCACAAGTTTCATGTTGGAGATACTTCACACCCTAAATCACGGGAGATTTATGATGAACTGGACAAACTGGGTTCAAAGATAAAGAAAATAGGCTTTGTCCCCGATACAGATTTTGTACTTCATGATGTGGAAGAGGAGCAAAAAGAGTATTATTTGTTTCAACACAGTGAGAAAATAGCAGTGGCGTTTGGTCTTATTAGCACATCGAAATCGAAACCCATTAGAGTATTTAAGAATCTCCGTGTCTGTGGAGACTGCCACACTGCGATTAAGTATATTTCAAAAGCCACTGGGAGAGAAATAGTGGTAAGGGATTCAAATCGGTTTCATCATTTCAAGGGTGGGACATGCTCTTGCAATGATTACTGGTGATGGTGTGGTATATTTCAAGCTGTAAATGATAGAATAATCTTTTAGAGGGAGATCTAAATTATTTGAGAAATCAAATTTACGGTTTCCAACATTCAGTTCATAGCCCCTGCTTTGGAAGCTCTTGGTTGCTCATTGAGAATCTTTTAAGATTTGTCTGTAGACTGTACAGTTCAAATTTTCCGATCTGTATTACTATTGATGTATAAACTATTTCATGATTGATTTTAATAAAACTGTATGCAGTTTTGTCCTACATCTCACACTCATATTGGCTACAAATGATGAATAATATAGTTCATTAAAATCTCTGGATTAGGGTGAACGGCTAAAGATGAAGAATGGTGACTTGAACAACCTGTAGATCATTAAAATATCCAGATTGAGGTGGACTGAAAGAAGAATGAGATGCATTGAGATTATGATGGCAGCTGCTGATTATTTATTAATAAAACCAACAATTCTATCTGTTGAATAGTTGCAGCACCGCCGTCACACCTATCTGTCCTAACAAGTTAATCTGCAGCTGTTCTGTTGGCTGCTGATGCTGCACACTTAGGGGCCAATTCAAGCTGAGAATAAGATGTTTCTGTAACTACTAAAATTTGAGTTTTTTTCTTCCAGAAGTTTTATAATGGACAAGTTGGAATATAAGATTGGTAAGATAAAAAGGGCTATATACTTGGAGAGGCCCTCTCTCATTTAAAATACTCTTTCGTGGTCTTTTGGTGGTTAATTTGAATGCAGTGTCTGCTGCACAGGACTTCACAATTGAGGACTTAAAACAAAAGGTGGGATTGATTCTTCAAATCAAGAAGAATATAAAAGTACTGCAACCCTTTTATTTTATGCAAAACGGCTATGGAGATTTTTGTTCTCTTTACATTCATTGTATTTAGAAGTAAAATATATTTGAGAAAGAGCATCCTAGGACTTTGAGATGGAACCTTTTGCTAGAGCTTTCCCCATATTCTGCTTTCCGGAAACTTTTTACTGGAACTGAGCCTTGATTTTCTCTTTTCTGCTTTTGTCCTTTATCTTTGACTCCTATTTGTGCACCTCTCTTGGTTTCTATTTCAAATAAATTCAAGAAAAAAGGAAAGTGGATAGACTGTTTGTGTGTGTAATATAATACAGTTCAATTCAGAATTATATTGCTAAACAAAAATCTTGATGATTCACTCTGATGAGATCAAGTTTGAAATACTGTGGATTTGAGCTTCAGTTGGAGTCGGGATCAATTGCGTGGCGATTATATGTTCAGTATCATCAGAAGTCTATAATGCGCATAAAATGTCTAACACCAAAAACATTTGCCATCAAAACCAACTTGAAAAGATAAGAAACAAACAATGATCACTTCAAACGTATATAAATAAAATATCAAGACTCGTACGTTTGCAGATCTTCCTAGGCAAATAACTCATCACAGGGAAAGAGAGAGATGGAGGCTCTGAGCAATAGCCAAAAACAAGAGAGAAAATTACAAACAGTTCCTGGATTGATACGCTAGTGGATAGCTTTTTCTAAATGTCTTTCTTTTTATAGTAATTTTAATATGACGAACCAACTCCCATTTCACCACCTTTATTTCTGTGTCATGTCCA